CATGTTCCTTGGTTGTGGGCACATCCCCAGTAGAGAGTATACAGGGGATTGCTGATAGATTTTCCTTTCTCTCTATCCCTCCCCCTTTATGTAAAAAAAAAAAAAAAAAAAAAAAAAAAATCAATAAAATATGTTCTTAAAAAAACACCATTGGTGCCTTGGTCCATGTGGTTCAGTGGTTATAGTGTTGACCTAGGCACAAAAGGATTCAATTCCCAATCAAGGGCATGTATGTGGGTTGCAAGTTCAATCCCTGGCCCCAGTTGGGGTGCTTAAAGGAGGCAACTAATTAATGTGTCTCTCCTTCCCCCTTCTCTGAAAATCAATGGAAAAAATATCCTTGGGTGAAGGCTTTAAAGAAAATCAAATACCATTTGGCATATTTCATAAATCTGGAACAAATATTCCAAAAATTTATATGGAACTAAAAAAAAACCAAAACAAAATAGCCTCAGCAATCTTAAAAAGAACAAAGTTGGAGGGATCACAGCATCAGATATCAGACTGTACTATAAAGCCATTGTAATCAAAACAGCCTGGCCAAGAGCAGGTTATAGGCTAATGGAACAGAGACCCCAGAAGTGGATCCACACCATTCTGGTCAATTAATATTTGACAAAAGATGTAAGAATATAAAATGGAGTAAAGATTGTCTCTTCAATAAATAGTGTTGGTAAAATTGGACAGGTACACACCAAAAACATGAAACTAGATTGCCAACTTATACCATACACAAGAATAAACTCAAAATGAATAAAAGACTTAAATGTAAGTCATGAAGCCATATAAATCTTAGAAAACAGGCAATAAAATTTCATCATCTCATTTAGCAGTATTTTTGCTGATACATCTGCTAGAGCAAGAGAAACAAAAACAAATGGAACTATATCAAAATAAGCTTCTGCACAGCAAAAGAAACTGTCAACAAAATGGAAAGGAAACCCATTGTTGGGGAGAACCAATGATACATCTGGTAAGGGACTAACTTTCAAAATATGCAAAGGACTCCTACAACTCAACACCAAGAAGATAATTCAATTTAAAAATGGGCTGAGGACCTGAATAGACATATCTGCAGGTAGGACATGCAGATGGCCTATAGACATATATGAGAAAATGCTCAATGTCACTAATCAGAGAGATGCAGATTAAAACTACAATCAGGTATCACCTCATAGCTGCCAGAATGGCTACCATCAATAATCAACAGTTCTGGTGAGGATGTAGAGAAAAGGAACTCTAGTACACTGCTTGTGGGAATGCACACTGGTGCAGCTACTATGGAAAACTGGAGTTTCCTCAAAAATTTAAGAATGGAACTGCTATTTGATCCAGTGATCCCACTTCTGGGAATATGTCCTAAGAAACTTGAAACACCAGTCAGAAAGAAAATATGCACCCCTATTCATAGCAGCATTATTTACAACTAGAGGCCTGGTGCACGAAATTGGTGCACAACGGGGGTGGGGGTGCCGAGGGAGGGAGAGAGGGATGGTGGTGTCCCTCAGACCAGCCTGCACCCTCTCCAATCTGGGGTCCCTTGAGGGATGTCAACTGCTGGCTCCCAACTGCTCGCCTGCCTGCCTTCCTGATTGCCCCTAATCCCTTCTGCCTGCCAGCCTGATCACCCCCTAACCACTCCCATGCCAGCTTAATTGATGTCTTAACTGCTCCCCTACCAGCCTGTTTGCCCCCAACTTCCCTCCTCTGCCGGCCTGATCATCCCTAACTGCCCTCCCCTGCAGGGTTGATCAGCCCCAACTGCCCTCCCTTGCAGGTTTGGTCCCTCCCAACTACCCTCCCCTGCTAGCCATCTTGTGTCCACATGGGGCAGGATCTTTGACCACAAGGGGGCAGCTATCTTGATCTTGTGTGTTGGAGTGATGGTCAATCTGCATATTAACTCATTAGATAGGATAGCGGCCTGGTGCATGGGTGGGGGCTAGCTGGTTTGCCCTGAAGGGTGTCCCGAATCAGGGTGGGGGTTCCCTTGGGGCATGGGGTGGCCTGGTGAGGGGCCTGTGGTGGTTTGCAGGCTAGCCATGCCCCCTGGTGACCCAAGCAGAGGTCCTGGTATCTGGAATTTATTTGCCTTCTACAATTGAAACTTTGTAGCCTGGAGCGGAGCCAAGCCTTCTGCTTATACTGTGGCTGCTGCCATTTCTATTTGGATATGTTTACTTTCTATAATTGAAACTTTGTATCTTTGAGTGGAGGCTTAGGCTGGCTAGGGCAGGCAGAAAGCTTGGCCTCTTCCATTGCCAGAGAAACCCAAACCTTCCTCCTGCTTTCTGTGGCCACAGCCATCTTGGTTGGGGTTAATTTGCATACTTGCTCTGAGTGGCTGGTGGGTGCAGTGGAGTGATGGTTAATTTGCATATTGCTCTTTTATTAGATAAGATATCTAAAAGCTGGAAACAGCCTATTAGTATATTAGTGGGAAAAAATCCTGTGGTACATTTACACGGTAGAATATTATATGGCTGTCAAAAAGATGAAGCTCTTACCCTTTGTAAGCAAGGATGGACCTGGAGATTATTATGCTAAGTAAAATAAGCCAGTTAGAGAAAGACAAATATGAGATGTCACTTACCTATGGAATCCAATGAACAAAATAAACTGACAAAATAGGTCTAAAAGCATGGATTCATGGGGCAGAATAACAAATCTCAAGGGGTGGGAGGGACAGGAAGAGATTAACCCAATAACTTATATGCATAGCACATGGATACAGCCAATAGTGTGGTGAAGACCTGGGGTGGGGTGGGGGCTAGGTGGTGGGCCAAAGTAAGGGAGAAATGGGAGACATCTGTAATACTGTCAATAATTTTTAGTTATCTGTATCACTTAACCTACTCACTTTAGTATTCAAAATGTGCTTCATGCCCTGATACCCCATTCCTTTGTTATCCCCATTTTCCTCTGGTTCTGTCCTTACTCTAAACTCTAGGAATGTATATGTAGCAAAGCTCCATATTCAACTGAAATAGATATGAATTGAATTGTGGAGAAAAATCTCTTATATCAAAGTGTAACAGAACAGCAGGAATACACAGTAGTTCTCCTTCATCAAGATTTTTGCTTTCAGTGTTTTTAGTGCTTGTGGTTGAAAATATTAAATGGAAAACTCTTGTAATAAACAACTGATCATTTTTTGTTGTTGTTAATTCTTACCCAAGGATTCCTCCCCTCCCCTCCATTCAATTTTAGAGAAAGTGGAGAGGCAGGAGGGAAGAGAGATGGGGAGGAACATTAATGTGAGAGAGAGAGAGACATCAATTGTTTGTCTCCCCTACCTGCCTCAATTGGCGCCAGGGATTGAACTTGAAGCCTTTCAGTGCTCAGACTGACACTTAACCATCCAGGGCGACAATTGCTAAGTTTTAAATTGCACATTGTTTTGAGTAACATAAAACCTTTTGCAGTCTTGCCTGAGTAGCCATCTCAGTTATAAAAGAGAAGAAATGGAGGGAGGGAAGAAGGGAGGGAACCAGACCATATTCACAATAACTTTTATTTTGGTATATTGTTATAATTATTTTGTTTTATTATGTTAATGTTATTAATCTTATTGTGCCTAACTTACTGCTCTGATCTCTTGTATTGTTTACTGTCTGTGTTTGATATCTACTTGAGAATTTCCCCCATTTACTTATTTTAGATTAATCCTCACTTAAGGATTTTTCTATTGATCTTTTAGAGAGAATAGAAGAGAGAGGGAAAGACAGAGAGGAGCATCGATTGGTTGCCTCCTGCATGCACCCTGACCAACGTGTAACCAAGACGCAGGCCGATGCTCTATCCACTGAACCAATCCAGCTAAGGCATTTCCCCCCCTTCAAGTGCCTTCCATAACCTGTTGAATATACTATTATGCTTTGAATTACTTTAAAAAAAAAAAATATCCTCCATATCTATACTAATAAAAGGGTAATATGCTAATTAGACCGGGAGACTTTCCGGAAAAAGCCATGGTGGCAGGGCCAAGGCAGAGGCGGTTAAAGGCAATCAGGCCAGTGGGGGGGGGGGGGGAATAATTGGGGGAAAGCAGGCCAGCGTGGTTGGGGGGGGGGGGTCAGTTTGGGGCGAGCAGGCCAGCAGGCAGAGTAGTTAGGGGTGATCAATCAGGCAAGCAGGTGAGCAGTTAGGAGCCAGTGGTCCTGAGTTGTGAGAGGGATGTTCCAGATTGGAAAGGGTGCAGGCCAGGCTGAGGGACATCCCCCCCTCCCCCATGCACAAGTTTTGTGCACCGGGCCACTAGTTTATATATATAAAAGCCTAAGCAACTGTTTGAACCGGATGAATGGTCAGTAGCTATGATGTGCACTGACAACCAGGGGGCTGATGTTCAACACAGGAGCAGCCCCCTGATGGCCAGAGCACTCCCACAGCCAACTTCCCGCAGCTGGCCAACCTCCCCCAGTCCTTCCCCCTGGCTGGCCTGCCCAATCACTTAGGGACCCCACTCGTGCATGAATTGTGATAATTCTCATACAATAAAATTCTCTTAAATTGTACAATTCACTTTATCTTATAGTCAGTGTTGCGCCTTTACCACCACAATCTAATTCCAGAACATTTACATCACCCCAGAAAAAGAAACTCTTCACACTTTAGTAATCACTCATTCCTTTCTCCTCCCAGCTCCTGGCAACCAATCTTTTTTTTTTTTCTGTATGTACTTACCCTTTCTGGACATTTCAGTGTACTCCTTTTAAAGTATGTAAACTGTTTTAAGAAAGCTCTCTGTTTACATTTAGTGGCTTCTTGAATAGGTAGCTTTTAATGAGAGTTTGTTGCAGGATCAGTTTTTAGAAGTGGGTGTGGATTAATGGGTAGGCGAGGGGAGGACTTTTTCTTTAAGTACAGGAAAAAGCATAAACGAGGTGATGCAGTTGAGGTAAGCAAAGAACTTGGTTTGAGACTTAGTTCGTTTTTAGATCTGTACCTTGATCTAGAAATAAACAAATGGTAAATATGATTTATTTTTTTCCATCTAGTCTGTGGCTCCAGCGGCCTTATTTCTAGCAGCTAAAGTAGAGGAGCAGCCAAAAAAATTGGAACACGTCATCAAAGTAGCACATGCTTGTCTCCATCCACAGGACTCACTTCCCGATACCAGGAGTGAGGTAAGGGATTAATTACACATATGTTTTTTCTTAAATTTTATTATAACTTAGTTTTATAACTTTGATTTATTGAAGTCCTAATGGGGGCTATTAAAGGAATCTTTTAGTTTTTGTTTTTTCCTTAACAAAAACATGGAAATTTTATGGCATAAGTTAATTGTATTCATTGTAGTAAAATTGGAAAATGTAGAAAAACTGAAGAAAATATATCACTTAGATATAATTTGGACCACAGATTTATAAGTTAACCATCATTATTTCCAGCTTCTTTTCTATGAGTAGCTATATATATGTATATACTAGAGGCCCAGTGCAGAAAATTCCTGCACAGGTAGGGTCCCTATACCTGGTTGATCAGGGCCAATCTGTAGAGCGACCAGCAGGGCGATTGGGGGAGGGGGGTTAGCCGCTGGCACCCACTATGGCTGGCCTGGCACAGCCCCGCTCACAGGCTGCAGCTTCCCGCTCCCTCCCTGCCGCTGCCACCATTTGGGGCCTGCAGGCTGGGGGCAGCTCCTGCATTGAGCATCTGCCCCCTGGAAGTCAGTGCATATCATAGTGACTGGTCATTCTGCCAGTCGTTCTGCCATTTGGTCAATTTGCATATTAGGCTTTTATTATATAAAATGTGTCTTTTTTACTTACTAAATCCCAAATATTTTTCCATTTTTTTAATTTTCCACTTGCTTTAATCCTCACCGTGGATATTTTTCCATTGATTTTTTAGAGTGGAAGGGGGAGAGACACAGAGAGATACTGATGTGAGAAAGAGATATTGATTGGTTCCCTCCTGTGCATCCTGACCATGGTCTGGGCTGGGGAGGAATCTGCAACTGAAGTACATGCTCTTGACCAGAATCCAACCCAGGACCCTTCAGTCTGCAGGTCAACACTATTCAATAAGCCAAACCGGCTAGGACAATTTTCCACTTGCTTTAAATGTAATATTTCATTGTATACGTGTGTATGTGTGTGTGTGTGTATTTTAATCATTTGCTGTTTCTAAGAGAACTTTCTAAGAAACTACAAAAGTTATATATGTTCATTATAAGAGAATTCAAACTATTAAGAATCATTTAAAGTGAAAGTTAAAGCATCTCCTCTCCTCCTCCTAGGAAGATACTGATTACAGTTCTGGTATACTGTATTCTTTTAGACTTGTGTGTGTGTGTGGGGATAGGGGGGCGGAGAGAAACAAACATCAATGTGAGAGAAACATTGATTGGTTGCCTCCCCTATTCAACTAGGAATGTGTGCTGACTAGGAATCGAACCCATAACCTTTTGGTATTGGATGATGCTCCAACCAGCTGACCCACCCAGTCAGGGCAAATTCTTTTAAACTTTTATCTTATGCATATATGTACTGCTTTTTTTTCTCTCCCATCCTTCCTTGCTTTTCTTAATAAAGGGAAGACTCCCTTGGCTTTATAAGTCAGTGACCGGGGTGTGGTGAGTTGAGAAAATTGGAGAGGTCTGACATTTGTAAATGCTTGGAAAAAAATTATGGATTACTCTTACTAAATTATTTCAGTCCCTTACAGTGGATGCATGAGTCATCATTTATCAAATAGATAAATAGAATTGTGTTCTCATTGGAAAATGGGATTTTGGAGGGGGGATATTTATTTTGTATGCGCATTGACAATAGCCCCTAATTAGGTGAATTATGTGTTTTGGATGGCAGTGTCTTGACTTCCTTCATTTTCTCTTTGGGCTACATCAGTAGTTCCTATTGAAAAGAGTTATTGCTCTGAACTTTTATTTAAGTTTGAGACTAATTACTAAATGTCATTTGTCTATAGAATTGACCAAAAAAAAGACAATTTTATTTTAACAAAGTAAAACAGAAAGCCCTGGCTGGTGTGGCTCAGTCGTTTGGACAATCCATGCACTGAAGGGTTGCTGGTTCGATTCTTGGTCCTAGCAAATGCCAGGTTGCAGGTCTGATCCTCCATTGTGGGGATGAAATTAGAGGTGGCTGGTCAGTGTTAACACTCTCACTTCAATGTTTCTCTCTTCTCCCTTTCTTGCTCTCTAAAAATCAGTAACCTATTAAACACACACACACAATAATAATCTCTGCTTTTTCTTTTCTGAAGTATATTTACATAACTTCTCACCTGAATCTTTTTTTTTTTGTTTGTGTTTTTTTATTTTTAATTAATTTTTTTTTTTTTGTTAATCCTCACCCAAGGGTATTTTTTCCGTTGATTTTTAGACAGAGTTGGGGGGAGGTAGAGAGGGGAGAGAGAAATATCAATGTGAAAGAGAATATCAATTGATTGCCCCCTGCATGTACTCTAACCAGGCCTGGGATTGAACCTGTAACCAAAGTACATGCCCTTGACTGGAATTAAACCTTTGACCCTTCAGTCCATGGGCTGACACTCTTAACCACAGAGCCAAATTGGCCAGGGTCTGAGTCTATATCTTTTTTGTGAGGTGATTAAGTGAAGATATTTCCTTCACTTTATGGAAAAGAGAACTAGCATAGTTGCAAGTGCTTCCTGGACTTCACAATGATCATAAGTTAAGTGGAAAGTTAATTATAACATAAGTCTCTTTACTCTGGGCTCAAGTCTAATTCTCCTAAAGTTCTAGACCAGAGCTGTCCACTGGAAATATAAGGGGAGTCATGTGTTATGTAAAAATTTTTTATTTATTTTAGGTAATTTTTGTGAGTTTATTTGAGCCAAACTGATGACAATTGCCAGAAAGCAAAATCTCAATGGGTTGAAAAAATGCCCCAAAGAATGTCAGTTTTGCAGCTTATTTTATACATTAGAATCAAAGGAGGAGGCATAAGGGGGTTACAGAAAATTCATTGGTGGTAGATTAAAAAGTCCAGAGAAAGCAAAATCTACCATTGGTGGTAGATTAAAAAGTCCAGAGAAAGATTGGATGACGAATAAAATGGAGAAACACAAGCTCCTTTTACATAGGTAGGTATAAGATAGACACACATACTGAACACAGATAAGAGATTTAGGGAACAAGATAACAGAAGTCTTTTGCTCTGATGGGAGGTTGTACCCTGAGGGGTCTGGAAAGGAGATTACTCCGACATTTCAAAGGTGTGTTAACTCAGATGCAAAAGGGCAACAGACAAGCTTACTTAAGGTAAAGTTTGACCTTTGTCAAGGAAGCTACAGGCCTAGGATTAGGACTTGACTACCCACTATGGCTCACTTTTTGTTAGGAATTGTTATGTTTAGATCATCCTATGTGGTTATTTTTTGTCTCTGAGTTCATTGGATATGTTATGCAGGCCTCTCCTGAGCTTATCACGTTTAATATATGGCTCCTTTTTTTTTAGTCCACAACAATATGATAAGTTTAAAAAAGGAGGGAAAGGCCGAAACCGACTTGGCTCAGTGGATAGAGCATTGGCCTGCAGACTGAAAGGTCCCGGGTTCGATTCCGGTCAAGGGCATGTACCCTGGTTGTGAGCACATCCCCGGTAGGGGGGTGTGCAGGAGGCAGCTGGTCGATGTTTTTCTCATCGACATTTCTAGCTCTCTATCTCTCTCCCTTCTTCTCTAAAAAATCAGTAAAATATATTTTTTTAAAAAAAGAATTATCTTAAAAAAAATAAAAATAAAAAGGAGGGGAAGGCTATGGCAATGGGTAAGTGAAAAATACATGCCCAAAGCATGATGTCATCTAAGCAAGTGAATTCAGAAAAAATAATATTCATGAAATCAATAAAATTAAAGAAAATGTCACCTCTCTGAAGTAAGAGCTCAAAGAAGAGACACAAGGGTTTGAAGAGGAAATGATATAACAACCAAAGGAGATGTAAAAATATGATCTTTAGAATAAGATTCAAACTTCATAGAAAGGAAAGTTACATAAAAGTAATCAAAAAGAAGACTGCATCTATAGTCAGAGATAAGGACAGAATTGAGAAAATGAAGCAAAATGAAATAAAACAATAGCTAAATTGGATTAGAAGAAAATAATATTTGAGAGACAAATATTATCTGATATACAATTTTTTCTTGAAGACAATAGCAGAAAAATGTAATTGAATAATTAAGATATATAAGAAATTTCCCCAAATGAAGGAAAATCTTAATTTACCTTGTTACGCCCAGACTTCGTGATCCCCAAGGACCACCAGGGAGCAGAGTCCGATGCAATAAACAAAAGAGCCTCTTCCATGCTAGCATGGGCTCTGTCCCATTCACGCCGACAGCTTGGCAGAAAAGAGGCCGAACTTCCACAGGTCAAGGGATTTTATAAGGGTGGTGATGTCACTGCTTTGGCTGACCCTGATTGGTCGGGTGAAGGCTAGAGTCCAGTTACACAAAATGGAGGCTAGCTCCGCCCTGCCCCACAATACAAAATGGAGTCAGGAGTTAGCCTTGCCCTTTCATTCCCCCCTTGTCTTATGTGCATGAGTCAAATAATTGACTCAGCCTACTTCATTTTAGGGCATTCGCTGTTCTGTTATACTTAGTCCTGGACTTTCTCACTGGCTAGTAAAAATGTTCTTGACAACATGAGTAAGAATCAGCATAAACAACAAATACAATTACCAAGACCCTTAGTACCACAGTTCCCATCAGTATTGTCTTCACTGAAGTCCAGTTCCCCTCCTGCAGGCATCAAGTCTCCTTCTGGCCTGCATGGAGCCCAGGCTGGGGATCTCATAGGTGAGACTGCTAATTTCCAGGATCCAGGCCATGCAGGAGCTGGGAGTCATGTTGACAGGTCTGGGTGCTGTCTATTTCAACAGCCGTGGGCATGCTCAGGATAACAGTGTAGCATCTCTTTGAGTCCTTGGGCAGTGAATTTCTTTACCCACACTGAGTTCCCAGGCTACAGAGTCTGCAGTGGGCACTGGCAGTGCATCTGGAACGAGCAAACTGCAGAACCTGTAAGGACTTGAGCAAGGGAATGGTTATCAATTCCAGTTTTCTCCTTCTTCCTGACCCTGGGAAGGATGGAGAGAGGTTTACCATACATGATCCCAAATAGAGGAGGGAAATTCAT